AGTGCTGACAATGCTGTTGATAACAAATATGCTAGTAACCATGGCAATGATGAAGTTTTTCTTGTGTTGGTTTAGGTATCCATCCACGAGGAAAAGATCCCAAGTTTTTATTAGGTAACTCTTTAGACTAGCTACTCATATTCATACTGTTTATCCTCTGCATTTAATGACCAAACTTGAGAAAAGGATAAAATTCAGGATGATAAAAAATGCTTTAGTATTATTACTTCCACTCTGGCAAACTCCATATTTGCCAATCGGCCAGACACTATCTTCTCGTTATCACAGTCACTCAACCAATCAGGGCACAAAGCTCTATATTCAAGTCCAAAACTGTGATCTATGCTTTTTATTCAATGATGCCTAATTTGAGAAAATTATATATTGTTCTTTTGATTCTTAGTCCCAAGCAAAAAATGTCCCAAACTTCCCATTCATGCATCTAATTTTTACATTTTCAGGTACGGCCCAAGAAGTAAGAGCCACAACGACATCCCACTTGATGATCAATGGCCAGAAATTCCCAGTAGTCGGGTAAGGCTCCTTTTGATTTGATGCAAAAAAAAGACACTTTACATTCTAAAGATAAAAACACAATACATCTCTAACATTAGTCTCAAGGACATAGTTCCAGTTCAGTCAAAAGTTTGCCGTGTCAAATCTAGTCGTTGCATTTTGTACACAACAAGTGTGATGTCTGAACCAATTGAATTTGRAAAAAAATTCATTTGACCAAGGCACTTGTAGCATGAAACGACAAGGACRAAGTATTTCCCAAAAAATATATTATTTTATCTCCTCATTAAAAGCAGAACATAATTTGGGCATTTTCTATTTTTCAGGACGGTGCTTTTGCTTCTAAAAATGGTGGTAGAATATTGCCAATGTGTAGATGATACRCCAATGTTAGCCACAGACATCATGAATAAGCTCTTTGAAATTCTTAAGGTGTGTATAACAGGAATGTCAGTATCCATTCCCTTGGTCATCGCATCATGGAATTTGCACCTTGAGCATTGTTTCTTTGTTTAAACATTTCCGTGTGAGAAGACAGAGGACAAAAGACAAAAGTTTAATGCAGTAACTTACTTCATTTTCTGTTTTTTAGTTATTTAATTCTCGGACATGCCAGCTGGTGTTGGGAGCTGGTGCTCTGCAGCTAGTAGGACTGAAGACAATTACAGTTAAACAATTAGGTATGGACTAAAGTAACATCTTCACTGTATTGTGTTTGTGTGCAACCTGGGACCCTTTACCGTGGGACCCTGGACCATGGAGCCTGTATCCTGTGACCCTGTACCCTGGGACCCTATACCATGGAGCCTGTATCCTGTGACCCTGTACCCTGGGACCTTGGACCATGGACCCTGTATCCTGAGTCCCTGTACAGGGACATTGGTTTTTTGTGTATATTTAAGTTTTGATTGGTTTATATTTTGCAGCATTGGCCTCAAGGTGTCTGCAGGTCATATCTATACATATACCAGTTTTTAAATCACACTTTGAAGAGCGACTTCCTCCAAAGCAATACGTGCTTCTGTCACAGTTTGACCAAATTCGAAAAGTAAGACAATCAGACTCGCAAAACAGTTGATGATGACTGATGAGGACGACGATGTATGATGATGATGGTGGTGGATGTTGWTACTGTAAGGTGATGATGACTATGTGTATGATGATTTTGGTGTTGGTGGGGATGATGATAATGGTAATAAATAATGAATATAATATGGATGATGATGATGATGATGGTGATGATGATAATGATGATGGTAATGACAACGATGATGRTGGTGATGATGATGATAATAACCATGACGGTGATAAAAAAACAAATTGGAATTTAGGAGTTGATTTTTGCGGAGGGAGGAAAACTGGAGGACCCGGAGGAAAACCCTCAAAGTACAGGAGAGAACCAACAAACAACTCTACTCATATACTACACCAAACCCGGCAGGGCTCAAACTCAGGTCACATTAATAAGAGGCAAGTGCCCACACTGCTACACCACCTGTGCTTCCCTAAATGATGATGGTGATGGTGATAATGGTGGTGATGGTGATGATGATGATGATGATGATGATGGTAATGATGATGGTGTATAATCATGATAACTTGTGACTGGCAGCGTTGTTGATGATGGTGATTACCACTAAAGATGATGTTATTTCCATTAGGACTATGATAATCATCAATTAGAACTAAATGGCAAGATAGTTGGTTTGATGGAAGAAGCCTTCAGGTCCTATCTATCTCAGGTCAGTTAATCCCAATTTTATAGGAAATTTCACCATTTGAAGAAGAGTTAATAAAGTTATGCCAAGCTTATTTCTTGAAAATGGCTTAATACTATGAGTATAGCTGTCTTTTTCTCATGAAAAATTGCTTGAGCTCAGCCATAATAAGTCAAGCAGCAAAGTTKTTTTAGGTAGAAATACTACAGAAATGGATTGCTAATTGTTTCTTTAAAAAATGTCTAATAACCTATAGAATAATGTGTAAGTATTATTTAATATATACAATATGAGCGGTAGATCTGTATGAGGATTTAAAACAGCGAGCTGTAAGCTAGCTGTTTTAAACCTCATACAGATCTCATGCAAATATTATAAATGTCTAGATTAATGCTTCTTTTTTAGAGTAAAAATTTTAACATTAAAATGTAATTTGGCTGAGATATTTGAAAGTCAACCTTATGCAAAAATTAGGACGAATTCTGTGTCAGGGTTTGCGGATGCCTTCACGGTAGTGATTTTGTATTGTTCTAAGGTCATTAATTATTATTCATGATGTTTTAAAGAAAACATAAAATAACTTTTAGCTTGAATTAAGCAAATTGCACAATAGTTCTAACACTTTAACTCTGTTCATTTTCGTTCAGTGGGAGGTAAAGCCTCCAATGCCTTCACAAGCAATGAGAAGTATTGTAAAGAAGACTGTTAAATTACATGAATCATTGTCTACTATATCTTCCTCAAACCAAATAGAGGTAAGCTGCGATGATGTACAAATGTCAAAGCTTCTCAAAAGCTGATTGGTCAGAAATATCATGTGCAGTGATGAGTGGTTGTGATAGTCTGTACTTTGATCTTGCTGTGTGCTAATTGATGTTGCTTCCATGACATGAGCATGCAGTAACTCTGCCCAGGGCTTAAAATGACAGCCAATCATTTGCCCATTATAACTAGCTTTAGCTTAGTCATACTTTATTTCTGGCAAAATGTTGGTGGTCAAAATGACCAGCAAGGTGAAGATTTGACCAGAAAAGTCCCAGTTCTGGCTGGACATTGTCTGATGTCCGGCTGTTACTTTAAGCCCTGGTGCCATAATTGTGCCATTACTGTGCAGTGACCGTGCTGCAACCATGCTATTTCATTTAGCATGCAGTGAGGCTCAACAGTTGTTTTCTCTCACTCACAGCTATCACTATGCATTTCATTTAGAGCCCTGTCACGAGTGGTAATTCATGATAGATGTTGTCACTTTCATGCGGTGACCATGCCATTTCATTAAGTGTGCAGCAAGGTTCAGCATGTATTGGTTGTGTGCCATGACAGTGCAATGGTCTGTTATTTAACCCACTAGCCATGTAATAATCTTTTTTTTCTTTTCTTCAGATATTATTTAAAGAAATCAAAAGAGTATTTAAGAACTGCTTAGCAGAGAAATTGGAAGTTCTACGAGTATCAAATGATGGTGGACCACAACATGGGTAGGTTATCCTGTGGATTCTCACAAACTGCATGTCATTCCCTCGAGTATTATTTCTTTTCTTACCAGAAGCACTTGATGCTCTTATTTCTTGGCATAACATCAAAACCCCTCATTCCCTTAAGTATTATTTTTATTTTTACTGTTTTTTCCTGTCATTCCCTCGAGTACTATTTCTTACTTTACTTGTTAGTCTTGAGACCCTCTACTTAATTAAGTATGTCATAGTAATATGATCTCCATAGTAACCAGAAGTATCGTCTCCATAGTAACAYATGGATGTTTCTTGTTATAGGCTGGTGACATCAGACTTAGCATTTTTCATAGAAAGTCTTCGATCTCTTCATGGAATGAGAGATATTGGTAAAGTACTTGACGAYGTGTGGAAAGCAGTAAACGAATTGAGAAATGCAAAGAATTCTCCTGCAACAGGAAGGAAAGCAAGTCTACAAAAATAATCTAATTTCATTCAAGAAGGGTGCTTTAATTGATTTTTATGTTTGTGGATTATCTTGGGGGGAGGGGTGGGGTGGCACTTCATGATAATGTTGAATTATAAGAGCAATGGGTAAAACAGTGACCTATTTCAAATTCAAATTATCTGTGCCAGTAATGTTTTGTATAATAAATGATTACTTCTCACATGTCATATGGCATAGAAAAACCTTTTTAACTTCAATAAGCCACAATCAAACTATGAAATGTTTTGGGGTCATTCATCAGCTTACCCCATGTAGAATCAATACTGAGAATATTGTCACAAGGGTTATAGGCACTATATAGGCACATAGTATTATTTATCAAATGTGAACCACATTTCACCTGTGAAAGGAAATATTAATCTTGAATGAATTTAACAAGACGACGGGCTTTTTAACTATAAAATGTTGAATTAAAGAACCTTAAATAAAATGTACATAGACTTACACATGCAGACACATAATGAAGTAAGAAATATATATATAGGAATATCGAAATAAAAGTGTAGAAAAAGTGAAAGAAGAGGAACAAATTCAAGAAAATTTGTAAAGGGAACCTGTCAGTATTTTTGTTGTCCCTAAATTTTATTTTCACTGAAAACTTTTTCAAATCTGGCCAGTTTTGACTTGCTATACTAACTACCCCCAACATGGCAACTGCTTTAGACTTACAATGCTCCAACATATGTAGCTTACGTTGTAACTCACTATACTGGTCCTCCAACATGGGCACAACTTTAAAATACCACCCTCCAACATGGCTGACATTTTGAATCACAATATTGTCCTCCATTTAGACTTACCATCCTCCAACATCGCTGAATTTAGTTTAGTGGATAATAATAACRAATATTTATTTATTCTCACTAAATATGATAGCGCACAAGTGCTAGTTTGAGCGAGCTAAAGAATAAATAGCTATAAAAAAAAAAGATGTAGAGGAAGAGTGTTTTGAAATCTAGCAACTCATAACATATTTTTAATGAATCTGAATTTATCGAGCTACACTCTTAATGCTGGCTCATGCTAACATTGGCTTGGGCTTCCTGTGGTGGCAAAAGTCTAATTCAAATTCGGGTTATTACCAACAAACAATTTAACTGTCTCTCTAACTAAAAGGTCTTTTAGACTGTTTTAACTATCTATATCTATGAAAGCAATCCTTTCTAGCTTTAAATTGGGCTCCCACAGGCTCCTCAAATTCAGGTTATTACCAAATGATTTAACTCTGTCTCTCTAACTAAATGGTCTTTTAGACTGTTTTACCTATCTATATCTATGAAAACAATCCTTTCTAGCTTTAAATTGAGCTCCCTGTGGTAGTGTAAAATTTCTTGCTTTACCACAGGGTCCCCACAAAACAACAAAATGTTTTGGGTTTTTTTCCCACTAAGTTTTTGGAAGACTTTGAGGGATCCCCTAAACCTCTTCATGTTGCATTTCCACAGTTTCCATGGTTTCATTAGCTTGCTGTTCTTTTATTCCCATGACTTCCTTTTCATCTGTTTCTTGTTTTGAGAGGTTGTCTTCTTCCACTTCCATTTTGTCATCTTGCTTTTGCATTTTTTCATCTTGTTTGTTTTCCTCTGCATCTTGATTTGCCCGAGTTCCTTCTTCATTCATCTCTACATCTTGATGTCCTTTCGCTTCATCATCATCATTCTTATCCTGCTTCTGTTTCTTGGAAATTGGAGTTGGAACATCTTGCTTTTGCATTTTCTTTTCTTGTTTGTTTTCCTCTGTATTCTGTTCTTGTTTTGCCCAAGTTCCTTCTTCATTCATCTCCACATCTTGCTGTCCTTTTGTTTCACCATGGTCATTATTATCCTGCTTCTGTTTCTTAGGAATTGGAATTTCGACATCTTGCATTTTCTTTTCTCGTTTGTTTTCCTCTGTATTCTGTTCTTCTTTTGCCCGAGTTCCTTCTTCATTCATCTCCACATCTTGCTGTCCTTTTGTTTCACCATGGTCATTATTATCCTGCTTCTGTTTCTTGGGAATTGGAATTTCAACATAACCTTTCTCTTGGTCTTTTATCTTTCTCCCTCTTTGCGTTTTCTCAACTTTTTTCATTTCTTTATCTTTGATTTCTGTTTTTGCATCTTTTTTCTCTTTCTTCTCAGGTTCTTTCTCTGATTTTTCGTCACTGTTCTTTGTGTCATCTTTATC